TACTTGAAGATGATGGCTGATCAAAGATAACTTTGACATGTCCATCAGGGAAAGAAATAATTTGTTTAGGAATTTTACAAACAGGGGATGCAACTGGGTTTTGAGCATTCTCATAATCTTATTCTAAAGTTCTAGATTGAAGATTACAATGAATTCTCTTAGGAATCACGATGTTTGAATGAAGATGATTGACCGCTACCAAAAGACTTTCATCCCTTGGAGAAGATCTAAGGGCACGAATATTGAGCTGGGCATTCAAAAGGTTATAATATATTCGATATATTAAAGCAAAAGTTTTTACTTTATCGTCAACATCAAAATTCTTGGTTTGAATTTGAAGATTAAGAGCATTTAGAATAGCTCCATCTTGAAGACTAATTGAAAATTTTGGATAGCAGTTTGAAAATATCGGACCCCTTTCTAGATTAGACTCGACCATGGAAAGTAATGAATGTTCAAACCTTAGGAGTCTCTTATCTCTTAAGGTGAGAAGAACAGGAATGTTTAGACCAAGTCTAAACAATGGTTTAACTGCTATTTGAACAAGTCTAACATGAAGATATTTAAATTTCTTCTTGTGGGTTAAAATAGCTTCTTTTGAAAAAAGATTAAGAGAAACCGTTTGGTTTTTTATAAGAATAGTTTGCTCCAAAATTTTGATAACATAATTTTGAGTGAAATCAAATTTTCCTATCTCATAGATAGAATCTTGTCTACCTTAGGGATAGTCTAATTTTGAAATATTTGCTCTATTTGACCAATTTGAAATCATTTGAGGTACAATCATTTGATGCAGATGTAGATGCATGATTTTGATTCATTATCATTTTGAAAAAAGTTTGACATATTGTCTCTATTATTTGAACCACTACCTTTGCTAAACCAGTTTAACATAAAAGACATAATTGAATAGATGCAAGAAAACAGTTGCTTACTATTGCAGAGAAAATGCTACAAGGTGGATTGATGCAATGCAAAGCCTACAACGGGACCACCTAAATGCCAACTCGGGCAATACGGCTGACCAACACTTCAGTAAATGTCCATGCAACACACCAACACCAACTTAACCTTTGACACTATATATATATATATATATATATATATATGAAAGGAAACAAAATCACCTTGATTCAATTTGGATGATCATCTCGCGACAACTAGTAAGGTTGATAGAAACCTTTCATAGTAAGAAAATTGAAAACTACTATCATGAGTATGAGAGAATACAATTCGGCTCTCATGTCCGTGATCAAGCGATCCAGAGGGGAAGTGGTATCCGAAGCCTGGTAGATGATTGGTGGTATACCATCAAAATACAATTCCACTCCCCCTGATTCATCATCTATACCCATTACAGAAACAACTACAAAGAAGGCAATGTAAGCTTTCATTTATTGGATTCCACTTTTTTCTGCCCTAAGCCGACACCGGAATAAATAAATAAATAATACCTCACTTTTGTTCAATGAACAAGTAAACCAAGGTCCAAGACAGACACAAAGCTCTCACATGGGTAACAATCTTGCGTGGTCAGTATAGTGTCAAAGTTAGGCGCATCATTTCAGAAAAGGTGTCGAACGATGCATGAGTTCCCAACTTGAATGGATTTTCATTTCGGGTCACAATAAAAAATAGAGAAAAGATCACTTTGTTCGTGATTGGGACTACACTTTTTGAATTGGACAACATTCACAGGCTAGACTCGCTCATCCAGAGGAAACCAAGTACACTTTGTGAGCGAAAAGCAGAAAGTATAGGAGAATGGACCATTTTTCAATTTTACTAACTTTTTGAATTGAGAGCGATAACCGCTATAAAGTGGTTTTTGAAAAGTTGAAAGTTTTGAATGTGATCTAACTTCACCTTGTTGGTTGTGGATTACTTGTACTGCTTTTTAGTGATGGCATTTAGAACATGGTCTAATATTTCTTATTCTTTATAGCTCTACCCGCATACCGACCTTCCTTATGATCGATACATCTTGGTTGGATGTAGCATAAAGCCTTGCACAAAGGCTTAGCTCCAGAACTCAAGTTGATCTCAATATGCTGCTAGACCACTTGCATCATTTGAGGAGTGAATTATAAATGTTGGGTAAGCAAACTTGGCCAAAGAATCATTATTCAATAAAAAGTTATGTTGTGGTGACCCAATTCTCCAATTACCATATACAGATATGCAAGAATACCCTTGATGACATCAATCTCCAACTCACTTTTGATAGTGTTGGGGAAAGTTCACAAACTTGGTGTTTAATTAAGTCTCAAGTTGCAAAACTTCATCCCTGAAATATGGTTTAAAATCTACAAGGATATGACCTCTTGCTTACTGCCTGATGAGTGAAATTAACTCATTAAACAAGTTCCTTTAAATCGTAGTATTTAGTTTGTTCTTGAGCACTTTTGAGCATTTTGATGTGTGTGTTCATGTTGTTTTGTAGTTGGAAAATTGGATGAAAACGGAGTAGTTTGGAGCTTGAAATGGAGCTATGATGATGATCATGGAAGGAGGTATGACATGGAGATGAGGGAAGAGAATGATGAAGTGGATTGAAGACCAAAAGATTTGGAAAATCAATAGAGAAGAAGACAACAAAGACGAGGCAGAATGTTGGGAGCCTAGGCCCCCAAAATACAAAAAAAATGCAGAATGGCTGGCGCCAGCCGTAAGGAAAACCAACAGAATGCTAGGCGCCGCGACCCGGGAAAGAGAAAAAGACCTGTGTTTATATTTTTTTCGGCCCGGTCCAACTCCAATCCGTGTTATTATATATTGAGGCTATAAATACAAGTTTGAAAACCTAATTCAAGGGGGAGAAGATGGCTTAGAAAAGAACATAAAAGAGAATTGATCTACAGCTAAAACGACGAGGATTTGGAGGAGAATTCAAGCGGCAAAAAAGTTTTTCTTCCTTCTCTCTTTATGTTTTTCATTATAAATTGTGTTCATTTCATAAATTTCATTATGAACTGAACACTTTATCTAGGTTTGATGTAACCAACTTAAGATTATGGATCGATGATTTTATAATTATTGTTATTTGATTTTCTTGCTTATATTTAATTGTGTCCTGATTATAATGCTTTCAATTACCTAATCAATAATTAAATGAATAGATGTTAGTCAATTCCGATACTCGAGAGAGGTGAATTTAGGCACAATCATAGGATTGACACAATGTAAGTTTTATGGATTTCGAGAGAAAGTGTAAAATCTGTGAAGTTTACTTCACAAAAGAATCGGAACTTGATAAATTCTATATTTTAATTCGGAATAGAGATATTGAGATTAGATTCTAGGACTAATTTCTAACCGGCACTCGAGAGAGGAGAGAGAAATAATTTCGGATTCTTGCTTTTGAATATGGAAGAATCAATTGGCATAATTGGATATCTTTGAATCATAATTGAAGGTTAGGTGAAATCATTATCTAGGCTTTCTCAACTTAATTATTTTCATTCCTCGTATTTGTTAGCCAATCTCATTAGATTAATTTAAAATCATTCATTCAAACATTTATTGTCTAAGTAAAATAAAAAGTTACATAACTATAGTATTTAGTGGAATTAAATTACAATCTCTGTGAGTTCGAGACTCTCTTTTACTATATTACAAAATTGGACACCGTACACTTGCGGTATAATTCACGTTGCATAAAACATGTGACACTGCCCTTATCCCGCAAAAAAGCTTATTCTCTTTCTTGATGTGCCAAAACCCCTTTCTAATGTTAATCAGGTACATGTGGACAATTCAATCAATCTTTTTCTAAAGCCAACTCTTCCTTCACATCCTTGTCCAAGAAGCAAACCGTAAAAGTATAGGCTGGATAAAAAAAAAAGCCTCAAACCTGCTGTAATTACTCATCAAGTTCAGTCTCAAGCAACTAGGCCACCATCAAATAAAGCACTCAATTCGTGCCTCGGGGCACATCCGAGATGGCAAAGACAGTGCAAGGCTGGGCTTGCAACCCCAGTGTGGGGAGTTCGAATCACGAACAGAGCAGTCAAGTGTTGTAATACTCAAACCATGTGGGAGCAGATTGGTGATGTAAAAGTCGGCGCAGGAGAGCTCCCTTGAAACCAGGAGTATAAAGCTTGCATGGACACAGGCTTGATTGGACATAACCCGCGATTTACCTCCGCCCAGAGTTGAGGCACCGGTTCTGAGTGGTCTGGGATATAGTCTGGTGTAAATTGGGATACCTGAATATCAAAAAAATAATAATAATAATAAAGCACTCAACTCTCACTTTGTTAACATAAGACGCAAGGAAGATCAAACACAAGAAAGTCCCACTTCATTCCAAAATTGTGCCACATCTGAGAACAAAAAGCAAAAAAGACTCATCGAACCAGTGGCCTTTCAAATGTTGTGCCCCAAAGACGGTGTTGTGGTACTTGGACCGAAAGGCAGGCTGGTGTCCGGAGGCACTACTAGCTCTTGTTGTAAATGGATGGGCTGTTAAGGAGTAAGGAGTCATGATACGGCCAGCGATATAATCTCGAACTCCTAATGCTGTCTCTCGGCCAGCCCTTGGGAATTCTGTTAAATCAGTAAAGCTAGGCCCATATAGATGCATTGGTAAACTAAAGCTTTACTTCTCTCATTACTTTTGAAGATACACCTTGTTTCTTCGAAAAATAAAATTTCAAACTGGTAAATGAGTTGTCTTTTTCTTAGGTACTTACTTTGATAGAAAAATAGATATGAAACTAACGTCATTACTTTCCACTTTTACCAACTAAAATACTTTAAAACTTATTTTCTAATCAAGAAAATTATATATAACTTTTATGAGCTCAGACTTCTTTTCCCTTAAACCGCGTTTAACAAAGCAGGGATAGCATAGCAGGTAAGAACGACCGCTAAAAGATGGCAAACGCAAACATGGTCATTCAAATTATCCAAGATGTTAGAATGTACAAGGAAACACGAAAAGTTCTCAGAGAATTGCAAATTTATTCCAGTAGAATCTCCAATCGAGCCTGACCACCTTAGTCCCTTGTACTGTTTTTAAGCCACTCCAAATACGGGTGGTTGCCACCAGTTATTGGCAGAGCAATGACTTCAGGCACCCTATGCACAAAAAGCACAACAATCAAAACAAAGCAAACCCACTTTTTCTTGGTCAGTAAAAGACAATTTATTAACTTTTTCCAATACATTGAGCGCCTGCAGGCCTATTTGTCTAAGCTTCGTCACAAATAAAAATCATCTCCACGCATATCATGCAAAAGGGAAGAGAATCCCTCCTCCAGAATAGATATATGCATTCATGTCATAAGCAGAGCGCCCAATTACAAATTAGTCGAACCCACACATGCATTAATCCGTTTCACAGATTCTTAAGACCAAGCAAAACACATCGCTCATTAATGTTAGCTGTCAATATCTAATATATCATATATTCACTTGCCATGATCAGTCGAACTCCTAAATTACATTCTCCAGCAATATCTACATCTTCTCTGTTTTACCAATCTTTTTAATTTTTACCAGCAATTTTTAACAAATAAATTAGCAATGAGGCAAACACATACTCGTATTCATGATTTTTTCTCACATGCTCGGTCAAAGCATCCAAGAGAGACTCCCTGGTCTTGATTATAAGCAGCTCCTCAGAATCCGTTTGTATCTGTTATCAAAATAGAAACAAAACATAAATATCCTAAAATTTATGTAAAAAGTTGGGGGCTCCAGTACCCTATTTCACCACATGTTTTGTTTCTAAAATATGTGGATGAAACTTTACCTCTCCCTTCCACTCATAAACTGATTCCACACCTGCAAACAGAACACAAACAGTTAATTTGAACTGAGGATTAAAACGCTTTTGATGTAATATATTGAATGGGACTAAAGGAAGACTACACAAAGACGAGCAATTGCACACATTTTGCCATTTGAATCACAGTCAAAGATAAGTCAATTGTGTATCAACAAGAAGAATTGGAGTACCCAACACAATTGGAAGCATCCATGACAAACAACTCATCCTTTAATCCACTTGTGATCAAAGATGAACACAATAAACACAGTTTTCGACATCCAAGGAAACAGAGCCTAAAACTGAAATTACAGTTGAGTCTAATTCTTCAAAAATTCCAATTATGAGCTCTCATTTCCTTGCTGTCAAACATGTAATGAGAAGTTGCACCAAGACTGAGGGAACAAGAAAACAATAGGGTTCTCATTGATTGATTGCAACAACAGGCTAAGAAAAAGAAGCCAAGGCTAACAATAAGCATTAATGTGCATCAACGTGGTTAACAACCATTTGCACACCAGCTGGCCATGTCAAGAAAACCACATATAGAATGTCAAGCAAACCTAATCTCCATGGTAATTTTGTGCCTAGCAGACAACCTCTACAGCTTAGGAATAATGGCACGGCACTATCTATATGCAACTAGAAAATGGCTATATAACCAGTTTTTTGATAGGTCACCAATTTGTAAACTAAAGTAGGGGGAGTGGTAGGTTGGGAAATTTATGTAATAAACCAAGAGGAGTCAATAAATGTAAGGATGAGGGTTCTATAAATTCATTTGTATTTGTATATATAGAACTCTCTTAATTGAAAATGAACTACAAATTTCAAGGCATTCAAGAGGTGCGGACTCTCCCCAAACCAACCGTCAATTTCTGCTTTAATAAACTAACAGGACCCCCACCCCTTACATTTATCTACCCCTACTTGGTTTATTAATTAAAACTTCCCAAACTACGCCTCCCCCTACTTTAGTTTACCAATTGGTAACCTATCATTACCGCTCCCTCGAAACTCACCTTGTCCTCAAGGTGAAAGTTCAAGCCAATTACAAAATTCAAAATATCATAAGGCCAAACAAATTCTTATGCACGAACACCTTTCCTGTTCAAAGCAGCAAAACGACATTGTAGCCCAAATGAGTGGGCAGATTCTCCTACCACCATGAGAATAGCACCCATGAAGCCACCATAATCGGTTGGACCTATCCACCAAATTTTGGGATAGGAAGATCATTGTTTGGACTGTTTGGTGCCTGGATTGAATTTTGAGGGAACGATTTAAGATTAGGCCCACCTTACAAGCCAACAATTTCTTCGTTAGTTTGTTTAATGAAGTTATTACCATCTTCATGGGCCTGTTTTAAATGCCCCAACTACTAGGCCTTAGCTTATCCATATCAACCCATTTCTCCAGTTGAAGCCCAGTTATAACACTCGATCCTAAACCGATCATCTTTATCTTCTTCGGTTCTGCAAGTATCTTAAATTGGCATTGGTCTTTCATCGTGATTTCCTGCTAAGAGAATTCTCACTTCGAGTGGCTTCCTGCAACGTGCAAAACTTCTCCAACATTAAATATTTCAATTCTGCCTATGTCTTTGCCGGCCGACGATGATCCAGCCCATTGGAACCAAACTAGGGCTTCTCCTTCCAAGAATGCCACAGCCTCATCTAATTTGTCTTCCTCCATCATTGAATTAATGAGAAAATATTGCTCAGCCCTAATTACCCACACATAGGGATCGTTGTTGCAGAATTTCCAACGCCTCCTTCCCCCTTGGATCTATTTGGTGCTTGCTCCTATAGTTTAACTTTTGAGACATAGATTCAATTATCTCCATTGTATTATTCATGCTCTTCTCCAAGCCGTTCCAAACCTCTATCAATCCTCTTTCATTTTCTTTATAGCTGAGTGTTCCCAAGTAGGATCTGATACCATTTTGGTAGGATCTCGATTGAATTGCATATATTGGAATTGATATTCAATAACTGGAAGACAAATTTTACCCCGGTTTGATGAGAATTAAAATTAATTATTAACTTTGACTAAAATATATGGTTAAAATTAATTATTAACTTTGACTAAAATTAAAATCTAAATTTAATCCCTATGAACAGGGGCTTTATTTATATTTGCATACATATAACTGAATTAAATGAAAATGAACTACAAATTCCAAGGCATTTGAGAGGCCCAATGATGGAGATACAAATAAAGATGTTAGATAGAATTTAAAAGTAGAGTTCGATTTCAAATATGTTATTTTAATTAGATTAGATTATTTTTAATATTTCGATAAAGTTATAGTTTAGCATGAGTTCATTTAGTTTTAGTTTCTATTAAATTATTTGCTATATAAATAAAGGATTTGTTCGTTGTAATTCATGACCCTTAATTCTATGAATAAATCGATATCTTCTTCTGCCCTCAATTCTTCTCATTTTTGTACTCCCTTTATTTAAAGTTTAATTGTTTGTTGTTAAATATACTTTCCAGTATCAATTTGGCATCAGTGCAAATCTGATCCTTTAACGAAACAAACCTTTTGCTCTCAAATCCAAAAACCAACACCTGACCCAACCATTTCCATCTAATCCATACATACACCGCCTCCTTTCACCGCCCATCCAAGCCCTATAACCACTTTCATGAACAAAAAATACAAGAATTCTTATCGACAGCAGCAACTGTTTTTTCCTCTTTAGTTTAAAAAAAAAGGTCGTAAAAAAATGTAGCAGATTGTCCAAAATGTTCTTTAGTTACTGGATTAAGTTTTAAAAAAAAAAAGTCAGAAAAAAACAAAACAGTTTTTTTTTTTTCGTTGCAATCATTTTTTTCTTTAAGTCAGTCTACAGCGTTGTTCCTTGTGTTCATCATTATGCAAAACCAATTGAAAATTTCGTAGCTGACTTGGATAAGTAGTTATTAGTTGGAGTTCAATATCGATACTTGAATAGGAGAGAGAGTCCTCTCTAGTCAGATAACATTTTTTTGGATGATTTGTAGCTTCAGTTGTCACATGGTCAATTTCGTTATTTAGTTCATAAGGATCGCCCCCTTAGTACAAGTTCTGATATACGTGCTCTCTAGGGTTCAGTAGAGACATTTGATTAAGTCAAAAGATTGACCTCCTTGAAGCATGAAGTTTCAGTCAACCTCGTGGGAGTCAGGTTCTCTCAACCAGAGAAAAATCATAGAAATATAGATAAAGGTATAGATATAATTTAGATAGGATTTTAGAAGTAGAGTTAGATTTCAAATATGTTATTTTAATTAAATTAGATCAGTTTGAATATTTTGAAAAAGTTATAGCTTAGTAGAAGTTCGTTTACTTTTAGCTTCTTATCGGTTACTTGCTCTATAAATAAATGGCTTATATATTGCAATTCACAATCCTTGATTATATGAATAAACTGATCCTCTTTTTCCCTCAATTTCTTCTCTCCTTTGCACTCCTTTTCTTTTCTTAATCTTCAATTCAATTATTTGTTGCCAAATATACGCTCCTGAGCACCATAACTCTCCCCAAAACCAACGCTCAATTTCTGCTTGAATGAATTAACAGAACCCTACCTTTACATTTATTGACTCCTACTTGATTTATTACATAAGCTTCCTAAACTATCCCTCCTCCTATTCTCAATTACCAATTGGTAACCTATCAGTTTTCAACCAAGAAAATATACTTCTCAATGCAACCATCTTATTAGAATATCCCGGAAATCTTATATCTAAGTAAATTTGTATCTCTCTTTCCCCGAAAGATAATATTGCACGGGGAGCCAAAGGGCACTTATGGCATGTGCAAAAAGAAGAGAGGGGTTAGCAAGAAAATGTATGATTATTATGTCAATCACGTTGTCATGCTCCAAGATCGAGTGACTTATTGCTGAAGCCAAGTTCGTACCACATGCGAGTTGATTTGGTTGAACATGATTCAAGAAATCAGCTAAAAATCCTCATTTGTGAATTCAGTACATGACCAACAGGAAGTAGTTAATATAGCATCAAAACTTGTTTTGCATGAAAGAACAAAGCATATTGAATATGACTAATATGAGAACAGCCTCCATGGAAGATAATTTTTACATTTAAGTCTGCAAATCAAATGACCAGTTATTGGCCAAAATTTAGTGTGGTTGGATGAATTGTACATCTATAACAGGATCGGAACATATTATTTATAATGCTCCGACTTGAGAGGGAATTTCAAAAATGTCAAGTTTTAAAAGTGTGCTCGAGTAATATATAGATATTAGTTTTTGAAAAAAAAAAAAATACAAGTTTAAACGATCGCATTCATCAAAAGTTTTCCTTAAATTCGCCAAGTGACAACCACCAAGATACGCACATTAATTAACCAAACTAAGGCTTGCCCCATTAGAATTGTTTGTCACAGACTTTTCAGAGTGAAAATGATTTTTTTTTTTTTGGAGAATGTGTGGATATAAACTCAGGAAAAGTTGTGGCTCCCATAGTATGTATGGTTGAAAATGATTTTAAAAAAAAAAAAATCTGCCAAACAAGGCTTTGATCTCATTGTTGCTGACTGACATATTCTCCCAAATAAATGATTTCCCATATTATTTCATTTTTAACATAAAATGGTATGGGCTGATATGCTGACATCAGAAAATTATATTTCAACTTCTTTATGTTAATTAGAAGTCTTGTGCTTAAAATAATGCCAACACAGAAGCCCCCACTTGGTTCACTAAGTCATGCTCTGGGCAAGTTTCGATTGCAAACACTGGCATGCCTCTTACAAACTTGATAAACTACCACAAACAAATGCATGAACCTCAGTCTTTCAAATGGCTGAATGAAGCACATGAAGTCTCTCATTAAATGTCTAAATTTCAGGACATGTTCAGGGACAGTAATTTCAGCAGCCAGTTCACAAGCCGGCTAAGGAAAAAAAAATGTCAGCACTCAGAAATTCAACGCTTTTCTGGAGTATTCCCTATCTTGTGATTTTTCAGTCCTGAACCAATCTCATTGAGACTTACTTTCAATAGAAATCAAAAATTCTGAATTGGGCAGGTATTTCTACCCAGCTTTAAGATAAACAAAGTGGAACAGATTTCAAGTCGATATTAAAAACACACCAGTTCTTTAAATATCTAATGACAATATCCATCAACTTGAACAAATGAAAGCATGTAAAAGTGCAAAAATCTGTAGGACACTTGCTACCTAAGGATTGAAGCACATACCTGGCACTCGATTAACACATGCTGCAAGCCTTTCTTTGACAATGCTTTCAGCCAGTTTTTTCCCTGATCCCAATACAAAAACAGAGATCAATAGACAAGGACTGTTTCCACGTAAAAATTTCTCTAGTGTTATCAATGCATGTGGATTGCTCTATATATTCAATAAATGATATGAATGATATTTCTTGAATAAATATACACATTTAAAAAGATAGATCAACCAAAAATTAAGAAAATGTCAAAACAGAATTAGATTTTAAGGTGTAATCAGTTTAAGTATCCTTGAACTACAAAACCAAATAATTGGGAGGCTCGGTGAACAATCCACGAAAGGATAGGAGCAGCTCCCAAGCAACAGTAAGAGAGCTTCAATAATTGAAAATTATACACTTGTCAATAGTGTGCCTATATAAAGTTAAAGCTTGATAAAAACTTTATCCATGAAAATAATCTTGGTTAATGCTAACTTAATGATAATTACGAATTATAATAATCTAAAAAATCAGGCGAATAGAGGCATTTAATATCTTCTTCATTCTGCTTTTCATATCTTTTTCATTATATCTCAAACTAATATGATAACATCCAGAAGCTAATCAGGGAAAAAGGCCAAACATACTGCAAAAAACTCTCTATAAACTATGCAGTTCAACCAAATTTTAGCAATTCTATGATCCCCAGTCATCAGTATGATGGGGTGTGTGTGTGGGGGGTGGGGGTTGAGGGAAGAGAAATACATACCTGCTTCTTTGTTTGGAACAGTAACGTATACAACGATGCAGGGGACTGTCTTGCTTTCCATTTTTATACTATGATTGCTCCTATGCTGTGATCTAAACTTGTTGAGCAAAATGCAACCTCATATGTTAATTTTCACTATGAAACATATTGCCATGAAAATGATATGCATACATTTGCCTTGTTATCAGGCATGCAGAGTGAAATATTACCGTAGGCGAGGGACTAGGGGGAGGGACTGAGCACAACCAGTTTTGGAGGAGAGAGAAATATAAGGGCAGAGATTGGAAAGACCCAAACTAAGTACACAAAACGCACCCACCAAAGGCAGTCGTCGACGGATCACTGTGGAGGAGATAATGGATGAGAGTCTCAATGCCATGTGAATTTGCAAATTGGGTTGGCTTTATAGGGATAATTATTACCTGATACCATAATGCACCACTAAGCATTTGAGACCCTCAAGGAAAAGAAAGGTATTCCTATTTTCCCAGTTATGTAAGTTACCAAACCATTGGATCCAATACAACTTCCAACAATTCAAATTGTAAAGCATTCGATATTCAAATCATGACCAAAAAGAATAAAACGTGAAAAACCAATTATTCATTTATCATCACAAAAAAACATAAAATATTTTGGTTCGAAAAAATCATGCCACTCGCAGATGATTTTCCTGATCTACAATTCAGAAGAAAGGGCAAATATTCATAATGTAAGCTATCTAACTACGACAAAGTCCGAAAACTATATTCCAGCGGGTAAAACCTTATTTCAACCAATACTTTGGCTAGACCCTGAACCTAATTAACATCTATTTGTGAGCGCGTCTCCATGGATTCTACTAATTCTAGCTTCAAATAACAAGCAGAGCTCAGTTCACTAGCATAGGTATAATAAACAGCAACAAACACATGCAAATCCATATTACAGACAAAATATACAGGGTTCTCGTGCAAAGTCAACCAGAAATTCTTGCTTTCAAATTTAACGCAAAACCCTAATAAGAATGGAAAAATATACTCAGTTTAATCAAAATTCAAGAAGAAGAAGAAAAAATACTCTATTTGTGGATGGGGGAGAGACGAAGACGACGACGAAGAAGAAGAAGCAGCAGCGAACCGTTTGGGGATTCTTTTAAAAATGAACAAGTCAAAGCCACATAATTCATAATTGGCTTTTCGGTATATTTTAAAATTGGAGGATATATGAATAAATATCCCAAACGTAAAGCCTTAATTCCAAAATAACCTTTGACTTTTCTAAAAATAAAACTACCTAAATTACCTCCAAATATAATTAAACTATGAAAAGAATACAATCAAGTCCTAAAAAATTAGATTATCATAAAATGACTTACAAAAAATCAAGATCTAAAAGAGGACCATACAAGATTAAGAAAATTGCAAAAGATAAAAAAGAAATTGAATTTAAAAATGAATTTGATAAAATTGGATATCAAGAACAATTAATTGCATCACAAAAAATATTAAAATATTTTAAAGAAAATATGATAGAAAATTTTGCTAAGAGTATTGTAAGATCTATAATAACAAAAAATATACAGGATATAATAGATAAATTAGAAAAAAATAAGAAAAAATATTTTAAAATATGATATACCTTTTAATCCAAATATAGATATAATAACACATCTTGATATTATAAATTCCCAGATATTAATAGATTTTGAAAATTTACTCAGCACATTATAAATAAAACCATAAAACATAAAGACCAATTTTTAAGATTTTAAAGATTATTAGATTACTAAATTTTAAGATTTTTTATTTTTGTTCGCTCATAATAGCACCCCACTTATTGGTATTAAAGCCATATAGGAGCCATAAAAGATCTATAAAAATCATAAAATACTATATATAAAAGAAAATCATTAAAAATAATGAAAATTGAAGATTTAGGTGATAAATACCTAATAAGAGAAAATTTTAACATAATAATTATAAAACCAATATTAAATAATAAAAGTGTAACAATTACATTAAAAATACTTGAAAAATTATCAATGGAGATAAAACAATTTATAATTGAAAAAATAAGACTAGATATTGTTAGAGGTTTTTTTTTTTTT